TGCGTCAAACGTTTTCACCGACACAAGAAAAGAACGTTAAGAAAAGTTATTGAATCTAAATTATGCTCACAAGCAGGTGTTCGGAGATGTAGTGCATGAAAGCTTTCTTTATCTGGTTTTAATCCCTTTTCCGTGATCCATGTCCAAATACCACAGTCGATATGGATCCCAGAAGAGTGGACATTGCTCGTATCTGAAAAGGATTTTTTACTAGAACGACAATACATGGAGTCAGGGTCCCGATGGCAAGCAAATTATGCGATCCAGATTGACGCTATCCTGCCGAGTAAGATACATCGATCTACACGTAACGCACGGGGCCAGTTTGTCTTTACCATTCCAATTCGTGTGCTGCCAACCTCAGCAAACTCGCATCGTAAATTACGGCGGTTGAAAACGACGACCCTGCTAGCCTCCCTACACATTTAGTCGGACTAGAAATACCCGAGCATAAATATTTGCCACGTTACCAACCGCCATGTCGGCAGATCTGCTGGTGGAAATGGGTCCACGCCAAGGTGCGAATGACATATATTGGTATATTAAAAAAAATCTGTTAGGAGTACAGAGTTCACACGAAGGTAAGAATAGTAGACAAGAAGCAAGAGTCCAACAGAAATGAACTTTTATTTTAGAACCCTGATCTCCGTCGGTCACTAGAAGGGGCGTTGGAGTAGGGTAGAATTCGTATGATTTGGAAGTGGTCACAACCACGCATTTGAATGCACTTAACCGTCTACTACATCCAGCGTTACGAACTCGAATTTCCCGCTTCCACGTGCAGGCAAACATGGTAAAAACATGCAGCAGCACACCAATGTCTCTCCCCAGTATGAAATCACGCCATCACGCTCAAATGATCATAAAGTACTGATTTTTTTTGCAGAGCGACGAAACAGCTAAACTTACGTACAACGGTCGCATGATTGTCTGTAATAGTAAACGCAATATTGAACTGGAGGAGTGATCGCAGAGCTCTGTTTCTGATGTTCACTAAACTCTAAGTGTGTTGTATTCAGCTTGTTTTTACCTATACTAACGATTCGAAGGTTTGTTGTCATATCCAAGCACCTAGGTCACTGCACGAATGGCCCAGCTCCACTAATATCGGAACGTCTGCCTCTGCGATTGCAAAAATGCTTTTACAACGACGCCACGGCTCCCGGAACATAATAAAAAAAGGGCTCTATTAAAGGTCGACCTGTAGACTACATACGTGGGATAGGAGAAACGCGGCGGTGTGCAAAGAACGAGATTCTCCAGATAAGAGTGTTAGGTATTACTGTAAATTCGTACTAGTGGTTACTGCCATGCAGCAACAGCAGTTCGTGTGCTCCGGCTCCACACGTGCTATGTAATTTTATACAGAAGGTCCAGGAGGACAACGGAGAATATACGCGGGTGTAAATCTCGACGTGTTTCTCTTCTAACAGCATCCATGTCCTGGCTCATCACCGTGTAGACAACTTGTGCATATTCACTTGAAAATAAAAGAGCGTTAAATTTCTAGCCTTACTTTATTGTCCTTCAAATGAGCTTGTATGGGGTTACGAACAGTGTAGATACTCAGAACACAATTCATTTGATGCTGCCCTAGTTTTAAGTACCGACAAATGTTACTGATCATGTCCACGATGACACGGATCGTGATCTTCAGTAAAGGCTCCTGCTCCCACTAAAGTAATTCACAATCAAACACGAGTGTACTCTGTCAGTTACAAAAAGAAGGCGGGAATAAGGTTACAAATTTTCATGAAGACAGTCAACATCCTAACAGGGAGCTAAACGTGAAGGAGAAGAGTTTCTTTGACTACTTTGCAGGCAAAAAAGTGAAAAAAGAATTTTGCTTCGTTGTCAGCCCAACAAATCGAAGGACGGGAAGATGAATAGTTTTGGGAAACTCGGATCTCCTCGGAGGGATGGACGGCAACACACGAATTTACTTTCGTGAAAACGATCAAGTACCATACAAGGTAGACCGATGAATTCTAATTTGGAAATTATGTGCATGGAGGAGTTAATAGACGAGTAAATGATATGTTTGGCTTCAGATGCAAGGCACTCTGGTGTGGTTGAAAAAGCCAACACTGAATGAAGTTGGAGATATCAAATTGCCGACAACCTTCGGTTACAGGACAATTTAAATGTATTGAATTATCAGGTCGCTAATTACTTCACGTTCAAAAACGCTTAACTCATGTAAGTACGGAATATCAAAATTTGCAGTACGGACCCGCAAATTGAGAGGTTAGCCAAGACACGCATCAATTAATTTATAAGTACGCCTACTTTTCACTTAGGATAAGGCTATCCATTTGAATCATGTAAATTATATTAACAAAGGCTCAGAGGACATACATTATATAGCAGAATCTATTTCACTATGTCATACCTCCCGTTGTTCGTCTAAACAGACAGACGTCCATCTAATAGAAGCAGTCGCGAACTTTTGTTGTCCTGAGGTATACAGAGCCGCAGACTTCATGAAATTGATGGATTGAAGCTTGCATTAGCATTTTCCTGCACGAATCCTTCAAGCAACATTTCTAATCGATGTTGTGGACAGAACCTTCTTTCGAATGACATTTAATTTACATCATCCCCAAAACGTTGTGTGGTATCACCTGTGCAAATTTTAGATAGGAATCGCACACGCAGAATTTCATTTTACAATGTCACATTCGCACACACACTCTTCAAGCAGCTTTAATAGAATTTTTGGACTGAAGAGGCATTTATAATTATTCCTTTAGTGAAACAGTCCACGAAGCTGGTAGCATTGGAAACAATCTTTTGCGCTATCAACCAAAGGTGGCCAGGGTTCGTCTGTTTAGACAGAGTGTCGGCCGGCTCTATCTTCTGGCCCATCAGCGTTAAAAAAAATTGCGAGCTTATTAAAAGAGCATAGAAATCTCGGTCATGCATTAGCATCCACTGTTGGTGGACTGATGTATTTGTTTTTTAGCAATAGATAAAAGCGCGATCAAAGGTTCGCAATTTTAGTTTTATTGATGCTGACGGTGAATTTGTCGCGGACGGCTTACTGTTTTAAGTTCCAGATAGCCTTTCCTTTTTTTCTACAAATTGCCTGAGATGGACGGGATAACCGCAAATACACAGTAGATTTGGCGGAAGTAGTTGTAGCATCAAAGGTGTCTTCAACGGTGTATTAAGTAAAAATACGCAGCGCTAAGACTAGGAAAGGTTATTTGCACAAAATTACTGAGGTTTTTTACCGTGGGCTGCTCATTAGAGGCGAAGGAGATGAAAATCATCATATTGACAACTATGTCAGTACCTGCAAAGAGAGGTCGGACGACGGTTAACAGTCGAAACTTTCCAGATCATTTTTCCATGTTTCCTTCGCATCTGTCAGCACAGTTTTCTTGTCAAAATGCAAATTGTAACGGGGCACCCTGAGGCTTGTACTGATGACAGTACTAGCTACTTATTCCGACGACAGAATGAGGCGATGCCGCGTAACTTCACGTACACTGGTACGTGCAGAGGAAGACGGTAAGAAGAAGCGAGTACTTGGTAAAAGCAAAAAGTAGAACCGTATTTATCATAGTTAATGTTTGTTAATAAACCACTAATTATCCTCATCTAACTATGTCTGAATACAAATGTGCATATCAACTATCTGCTCACCACTCATTGCGTGTGTCTGTCGTGGCGCGTCTTCGTTGGTTAATGTAATGGTCTGTATCAACCAATTAGGAACTACTCGTAAGTGCTACAGAACATTTGACCTATGACAATATTCTGAGAATTCTATTCTAATAGTTATATTCTATTAACAATATCTAACAAACTGTTATGTAACGGCTCACCCCGTTACATCACCCCCACCTTAACCAACAGTCACTTTAGTGACTATTTGACTAATTGGATACTCGTCCCAAATCATTTGGGACAGGGTTTGCACTTGTTGGTCCGAGCCACAGTCCATCAGTTTCATCGCATGTTAACAGTTCCATGCGGTGCGCGAACAAGGCCGCCGAGAAGCGCGTCCGCACGTCTCTGTGCGGACGCCGAAGCAGAAACCGCAGCAACTGATGTCTCATCGGTTGCTGAAGCGACTCAGCCTGTGTCACCTGGTGATGGAGGCGCTCGTCATGAAGACACTCGTGTCTTCACAGAGTATGAGCTCGGTGTCTCGTACTCTCCTGATACGGATGACGGATCCGTATCGACGGCGATTGAATCTAAGCCGCCTGCCACGCGTGGCATGGATGATGCTTTGCGTCGAAGCATCTTTGGTTCATGTGACGAATCAGATGAACCATCGCCGAAGCGAAGGTGCTCGAGGTCGCAAGACTCGGGCGCTCACAGAGGTGTCGGTTCTCCGATTGACACCACTTCGCAGCGAGGTACCAGTACTTCTGTCTGCACGTTGCAAGAAGAGCGTTACTGCAACGTGTTGCGTCTCCCTCCCGAGAAGAAGGCATGGATGCCTCCCTAATCCGTCATGGATCACTTGTCGGCGACGACGAGTGATCGTTATCGAACACGGTTGTTCGATTCGTCAAGGATCCATCACCTTGACCCCAGCGCGAAAAACTATCGCGCTGAGTATGATTTCTTCATCGATGCTTTCTTTAAGCATCGATGGTACAGTGGGAATCACAAACGTGATGGTCCCTCACTGCTTCAAGCGTGGAACGCCTACATCCATAACCTTGAGGATGTAGATCGTGACGCTTGTAACGACAAACTTATCAAAGCTCGTGATAAGTTTGAAAAGCGAACCCCGACAGGTGCACGCTACAAGCTGCATCGTCTGTCAAGGGAGAAAGGATTACCCTGCCTCTCTTGGGGAGACTCGTGCCCATCTTGTGTGAACAACTCTGCAAGAGCACCTAAGGAGGCTTACGTCCTTAATAGCCCGTGGTGGCGCGCACGTGTCTCTAGTGAGATGTACGAAGGGATTGACAACCTGAAATCCCTTTACGACCGTGCCGGGAAGACCTTTTCCAGCGGTCCTTCTGCGGCACAGGATGTGCCGCATCGTACTGCTCAACCAGACCCAGTACGTCAGCCATCAGTTGGGAGCGGGGCTCCCAAGTATCCCAGGACGAGGGATAGCCGCGCCACCGGACGAGGTTACCCGTCCAACGTCCGTTTATATCGCGGTGGTTCAACAGCTGCTCAACCAGATAGCGCTATCCACCGCGAGAGTCCCCTAATGGAGGTGGAGTAGGAGGGAAGACGATCTCCACACTGTCGTGGGGATCCGTGTGTTCCCGAGAGCTTCTTTGATCGCGTAACGCAAGGGTTACGCGGCGATCTCGAACATGAGCGGGACAGGCGTCTTCAACTGGCGGACACTGTCTTGAGGCATCGAGCTGAGTTTGCGTTTGCTCATCTTGAGAACGAGAGAGCTCTGGCATCTCTGCGTGATGAGCTAAGGGTAGCTCGTGGGGATATTGATCGGTCTCGGGCTGAGATAACTGCTCTTCAGACCCTTGTCGATGGCCACCATCGGGAGCACAAGGCTCTCTGCGAGATGCTTGAGCGCAAGGGCGTTCTTCATCGGAAGAAGCAGCGTAATGATGGTACGGTTTAAGCCGACCAACGTAAAACGTGGGATGCGCTCGCATCTTTCGTGGCAACTCGATCGTGTTGCATTGCCTAGGCGATGCAATACACGAAATGGGCCGATGTACTTGGGTAGTGGTTTACTACTACCCAAGTTAGTCACTACATGCTTTGGTAGATTAACCGTAGACAGTAGGACTAAGTCACCTTTATCAAATAAAAGAGTGTTTGCCCTTCCATTCTTGTCAGCGTTTTTCTTTTGCTTATCCACCGCTTTCGCGGTGGAGTCTTGCACAAAACGGACTACCGTTTCACGAGCCAGTATGAACTCATCTGATGACTCCTTAGCTTCAGTGCGCTGTGAGTGCACTGCAGCGACATCAATCTTTTCTTCAGTGAGGGCTTCCGCACTCTCACTGGCATCATCTTCTTCGATATCGATGTTATCGATATCGGCATCAAACGCAATGACCTCTTCGTCAGAGCGTGATGAGCGTGAACCAAATCGGTTTTTGCTCGCGCGAGTCTCTCCCCCCCCTTAAATTAGAGTTACACTCGAGTAAGGTGGGAACATGCGGACGGCGTAAGCCACTCACGTAAAACGGTGTATGTGTCGTGGACGCATGCACCGAGTCGTTAATGGCAAACTCTACCACTGGCAAGAACTCACTCCGACTCTTTAAGGAGTGTACGTATCCTCGACGTATCTCTTCAAGGACACGATTGGCGCGTTCTGTCTGACCATCTGACTCTGGATGATCAGATGTCGATATCTTCAAGCGTGTTCGGTGTGATTTGAACACGGAACGCCGGAAATCAGCTGTGGAGCGTGGATCTCTGTCTGATACAAGTTCAAGGGGCAACCCATGAAGTCGGGAGATGGTGTCGATAAAGACACAAGCACAGCCACTTGCTATGATTGACTCGGGTACAGCCACAAGGTGTACCATTTTGCTGAATCTGTCTACAAATACAAGGATACCCGTATTCCCGCGTGCTTCTTTGGGTAACCCGAAGACGAAATCCATTGAGATGGATTCCCAGCACTCAGTCGTAACTGGTAGAGGTTGTAAAGGTGCACGCAGTAAAGGACTTGACTTCACTCGTTGGCAGACTTCGCATGCGCGAACGTACTTGCGCACAAACTGATACTGGCGGGGCCAGTAAAAGTCTCGACTCACCGTGAGATATGTTTTCTCCCGGCCACGATGTCCTCCCATAGGAGCATCGTGATACTCGAACATGATCCGCAAACGCAGATCAGTATCATCTGGAATGACAACACGTGGTGTGTCACCAGAAACGGCTGTATAATACAGTAAATCGTTGCGAGTAGTGTATCGATCTGATGCAGATCGATATGCAGACGATAATCGTTTCAACGATTCTCGAGATGGCGGTGAGAGATGTGTCAACAACTTCACAATCTCACCATCTTGGGCATACGCCCGGCGCACATCATCATATAACGTTGAAGATGGTACTGAGGACGTCATAACCGCAACAGTGGCTGTATCACTGTTGGGTTTCACGACTGGTTCAAAGTCGGACCGACGTGAGAGTGCATCAGCGACGACATTAAGTCGTCCTGGTTTGTACTCGACCGTAAAGTTGTATTCTGCAAAAAATGACAACCACCGCGCCATTTGTTGTGAAAGGTGCGGGCTGTCTACTGCCGTGCGTAAAGACGCATGGTCAGTGTAAACAATGAGGGGTCTATCTCCTGATAGATAGACTTTGAACTTCGCGAGTGCATACTTCATGGCAAGGAGTTCCTTGTCATGCACTGGACAGTTCCGCTCAGCTGGCTGCAGCTAACGCGACTGATAGTAGACGACGCGTTCAACGCCTTCAAGGTCGTACTGCATTAATGCACAGCCGATTGCGAAATCGCTGGCATCACAGACCACATGAAATGGCCTGTCCTGATCGGCTATTGCTAGGACTGGGGATAGTATCAAGCTCTGCTTGATACCCTCAAAGGAGCGCTGCCATTCAGCGTTCTATAACCACCTATCTTTCTTTATCAACAAACGAGAGAGGTGTACAGTCATCTCGGCGTAATTGCGTGAATACTTATGCAAATAAGCCGCTAGCCCAAGGAATTTTCGAAGACCTTTGACATCAACCGGCACAGGCCAGTCGGTGATCGCCTTGATCTTTTCGGGATCAGGACGTACTCCTTCTTACCAACGATGCACCCAAGAAGTGGTATTTCGCTTGCTGCGAATATACACTTCTTGAGGTTTGCATACAATTGATGCTTTTGCATGATTGGAAGAACCTGTCGGACGTGGTACCTGTGGACCTCAACGTCCAACTTTCCATCCATATCCCGACTGTGGATGAAAACTTCATCGAAATAACTCGGCGCGAATTCTCGTAATGGTCTCAACAGATGTGATACACATCTGTTGAACGTGGCAGGGGCATTACTAAGCCCTTGTGGCATTACTAGCCATTCCCAGAGCATGCCGCTAGGCGTGCTCACTGCGGTATAGGGTATGTCTCGTTCTCGCATAAGGATTTGATAGAAGCCATCCATCAAATCCATGGACGAAAAGTTGGTACTCTTCGACATACCATCAATGATTACGTCCTTCCTTGGTATCGGCGTCTGAGCCGGTACCGTTGCAGCATTCAACTTGCTAAATGCATGCACTATCCGCCACCCTCTTGTTGCTTTTCGCACACAGAAGGTCGGAGAGCTATGTGGGGAAGTTGATTCCCTCACATGGCCCGCAGCTAAACGATCGGCAAAGAACTTGTCGATCGCAAGTACTTGTTCACGAGGCAGTGGCCACTGCTTCATGACACAGTACTTCGAGCCTGGTTTAAGCTCGACCTCGTGTCGAGTACCTTCATCCTTCGGTAGTTCGCACGGAACAGTTTCATAGAATACATCCTTGAATTCAACCAAATCTTTATGAAGAGGATTTTTCTTGAGCGATTCCCACGACTGGGAGTCATATCGCTCAACTCGTGTCTTTTCATCTAGGACACTCTCGTCCATAGATGAACTACTGAGAACTCTCTCGTTCTCAGTGAACACTGTTGCCTACCTTATGTCGGCTACGCACTCGTCGTCAGCGACGAGTACGCAGATCTGCTTGACTTTGTCACTACGCAGATCACGCAAGAACCTTTTTATGTTCGAGCGTTGGAAACTGAGTGATCTCCGAAGTCAACTTCGGATTGCAATCAGATCAAGTGTATAAGCGCCTACGCTTGATCCGTCACTGACTATGGCATTCACTGTCTCTGTCATTTCCTGGGGACTTATTCCCTCAGGCCTCGAAGGACTTATTCCTTCGGCTTCCTGGGGACTTATTCCCTCGGGTTTCGGGGAACTTATTTTCACCGTATCTGTAATATCGGGACTTATTCCCTTAACTTCCTTGAGCTGTGGTTGCGCAACCACAGCGAGATCCTCTACGAAAGACTCTCCAGTCGATCCAGGATTGTCGTTTCGCTTAACTTGAGCGAACGATGGTTTCTCTTCTAGATGTTCTTCGCTAGGGATACATCTTTGTCCCGGTCCACTCGACTTATTCGAGTGGTGGACCTTCGGCGCAGCCTGTGTTTCCTCACAGCCACCGGAACTTTGCTCCGAAGTGTAATCGTTTGTTACACTAAGGTTTTGTGCAGTCGTACTAACGACCATACCACAAGTGAGGCCATCGCACTCACTCGCAGTACATCCACACGCTTGTGGACGCTCCAAAACGTTCATCAGATGGCCATCTGATGAACAAGCGGCAGGCATCGTTACTGTTCGATGTTGCCAGTTTACCCGTGGTTCGTACCTTCTGAGCCACGGTATTCCAAGGATGACATCAAATTTGTCATCCAAATCCAATACGATAAAGTCATCGTCATATTGGGTATCTTCTAGCGTAGAGTGAATCTTCACTGTACGTTTCATGACGGTTACGGATGCGCCTATCGCAAGACGTACCGTCATCCTCGTAGGAGGTGTGTCACATTCAACAAACTTGAAGTGACCATCTTCTAGCGATTGGCGTCGCACAAAATTGTTGGACGCCCCACAATCGACTAGAGCTCGAAGGGACAACTTATTCGTCAGTTCGAGTTTCAAGGTAATGAGTGAGATCTCATTACCTAGAGCAGCAACGCACAACATTTGTGTGTTGGGAGCAACCTTCATCAAGATGCCTACAAATTCTCTTGACGTTGCTGGACCAGTAGGGTGCTCCGCACCTACTGATCCTGTCCGTTTTTTTGACGTCCGTCACGTTGTTGCGTCTTTGCGCCAACAGCGGACCCGCGTCCCTGCCCCTTTCTCATGGGTAGACGGTCACTACGCCCAGTGTTGCGAGACACTGGACGAGGGGCACTACACTCGTAAGCGTAGTGTCCTGTATTCTGACATCTGTTGCATTTCTGCAACTTCTTGTAGTCTGTAGAGCGAGCCTTCTCGCTTTCTACATAACAGAGTTCCATCGGCTCTGGACCTCCGCTGTCATATCGTCTCGGTTGACGATATGATGTCGAGCTGGCGCGAGCCTGTCTCAGACTGAAGTCTTCCTGTTCCGCAATGGAAATGGCTTGTTCTAGTGAATCTGGTTCAAGTCGGAACAGGTGAGTCTTGACGGGACCATCCGCAAGACCCTGCATGAACACCGAAACCAACGTGTGTTCATCAACCGGATCGGAGCTTGTACAACTCGTGAGATGTCGTATATGTTGTGCGTAAGTGTGCACATCACGCTTACCTTGTTTGAGCTTCAAGAGTTCAGTTCGATCTCTGAACTCAGCTCTAGGCGGTTCAAACGTTTGTCTGAGCCGCCACAGGAAGCCTTCTAACGACCCAAACGCATTTGGGTCGTGCAACTTGAGCCCCAAAGCCCAAGTCTTGGCACGTCCTGCCAGATTTGACTGGGCAAATGCAACTTGCATATCCCCGTCGTCGATGCGACGCGCCCTTATGGCGTCGTCTAATTCGACGAACCATCTCAAGAGGGAGTCCTCTTCGACTCCCCTATACTTAGAGATGTCAATCTTCAAAGTCTCGGGTCGACACGAGTGCATCGACCCACCAGCAGCAACCTGCTGCTGTCTCAACAGTTCAAACTGTTGAGCACCCTGTTCTCTCAACAGCTCTGATTGTTGAGAACCTTGTTGGTGAAGCAAGGCTACTTTGTCGTGTTCAGCGTCAAGTTCATTCTGATTGAACTTGGCGATAGTAGCGGGTTGGGCATCTCTATTGAGAGCCTCTAGCATGACACTAACAGCATGGATGCCCATGGTTGAACCCATCCGTTCAACCGCATCCCATTCGACATCGCTCAAATTGGAGTAGCCGTCACGCGTAGCGTGAAAGCTTTGGTCATCATCATCATCTAACATATTCATGTTAGATGTGAATGTGGTCCTTGGACGGACTACGAAGTGCTACCAGGTGTAACGGGGCACCCTGAAGCTTGTACTGATGACAGTACAAGCTACTTATTCCGACGACAGAATAAGGCGGTGCCTCGTAATTTCACGTACACTGGTACGTGCAGAGGAAGACGGTAAGAAGAAGCGAGTACTTGGTTAAAGCAAAAAGTAGAACTGTATTTAGTATAGTTAATGTCTGTTAATAAACCACCAATTATCCTCATCTAACCATGTCTGAATACAAATGTGCATATCAACTATCTGCTCACCACTCATTGCGTGCGTCTGTCGTGGCGCGTCTTCGTTGGTTGATATAATGGTCTGTATCAACCAATTAGGAACTACTCGTAAGTGCTACAGAATATTTGTCCTATGACAACATTCTGAGAATACAATTCTAATAGTTATGTTCTACTAACTATTTCGTATGAATTGTTATGTAACGGTTCACCCCGTTACAAACAGGACGAGTCTAACTTTGAAGATAAGCACAATTCCAACCGAGTTAAAATACGATCGCGCTCGATGACTATCTCGTGTTGGCTGGCGTTGATTATCTCAAAACGATGAGTGATTAAATTTGTAGGGCCGAGCTCGGAGAAGCAAAATTGCACCGTCGAGAAGCCGCTGCTAGTCACGTCGCCTTTGCCTGTCTTGACCGTACAAGATGAGGGAGCGATTTTGCTTCCATGCGTGATGTTGGTGATCGTCGTGCTTGCATTTGTGATCTTTGATGCTCCGCTGTCAAGCAGAGCGTCGGTGGCGCGGTTGTCGTGTTAAATCCGCACCTTGACGCGTAGTGGTGCAATCTTGTTCTCTGAATCTTTTTCCAGCAAGGTGATCATCTTGATCGCGTCCTCGCTGTCGTTAAACTCGTAGATGCGCGAGTATTTCTTGGTCGGCTTCTTTGGCTTGTCTTCCACTTCCTTGTTCTTTCTCTTACGATGATTCGTAATGACAAAGTAGTCGGCGGACCTTGCGAGTCGGTCTTGTAGAATTCGCATTACTTGCCTTTCATCTATGTAACTGACGTTGTAACGGGGTGAATCGTTACATAACAATTCATACGATATTGTTAATAGAATATAACTATTAGAATTGTATTCTCAGAATATTGTCAAAGGATAAATGTTCTGTAGCACTTACGAGTAGTTCCTAATTGGTTGATACAGACCATTATATCAATTAACGAAGACGCGCCACGACAGACGCACGTAATGAGTGGTGAGCAGATAGTTGATATGCACATTTGTATTCAGACATAGTTAGATGAGGATAAACAGTGGTTTAATAACAGACATTAACTAAGATAAATACAGTTCCACTTTTTGCTTTAACCAAGTACTCGCTTCTTCTTACCGTCTTCCTCTGCACAAACGAGCATACGTGAAGTTACGAGGCACCGCCTTATTCTGTCATCAGAATAAGTAGCTTGTACTGTCATCAGTACAAGCTTCAGGGTGCCCCGGTACACCTGGTAGCACTTCGTAGTCCGTCTAAGGACCACATTCACATCTAACATGAATATGTTAGATGATGATGATGACCAAAGCTTTCACGCTACGCGTGACGGCTACTCCAATTTGAGCGATGTCGAATGGGATGCGGTTGCACGGATGGGTTCAACCATGGGCATCCATGCTGTTAGCGTCATGCTAGAGGCTCTCAATAGAGATGCCCAACATGCTACCATCGCCAAGTTCAATCAAAATGAACTTGACGCTGAACGCGACAAAGTAGCCTTGCTTCACCAACAAGGTTCTCAACAATCAGAGCTGTTGAGAGAACAGGGTGCTCAACAGTTTGAACTGTTGAGACAGCAGCAGGTTGCTGCTGGTGGGTCGATGCACTCGTGTCGACCCGAGACTTTGAAGATTGACATCTCTAAGTATAGGGGAGTCGAAGAGGACTCCCTCTTGAGATGGTTTGTCGAATTAGACGACGCCATAAGGGCGCGTCGCATCGACGATTGAGAAATGCAAGTTGCATTTGCCCAATCCAATCTGGCAGGACGTGCCAAGACTTGGGCTTTGGGGCTCAAGTTGCACGACCCAAATGCGTTTGGGTCGTTAGAAGTCTTCAAGTCGCGGCTCAGACAAACGTTTGAACCGCCTAGAGCTGAGTTCAGAGATCGAACTGAACTCTTGAAGCTCAAACAAGGTAAGCGTGATGTGCACACTTACGCACAACATATACGACATCTCACGAGTTGCATAAGCTCCAATCCGGTGGATGAACACACGTTGGTTTCGGTGTTCATGCAGGGTCTTGCGGATGGTCCCGTCAAGACTCACCTGTTCCGACTTGAACTAGATTCACTAGAACAAGCCATTTCCATTGCGGAACAGGAAGACTTCAGTCTGAGACAGGCTCGCGCCAGCTCGACAACATATCGTCAACCGAGACGATATGACAGCGGAGGTCCAGAGCCGATGGAACTCTGTTATGTAGAGAGCGAGACTACAAGAAGTTGCAGAGATGCAACAGATGTCAGAAGACAGGACACTACGCTTACGAGTGTAGTGCCCCTCGTCCAGTGTCTCGCAACACTGGGCGTAGTGACCGTCTACCCATGAGAAAGGGGCAGGGATGAGGGTCCGCTGTTGTTGCAAAGACGCAACAACGGGATGGACCGTCAAAAAACGGACAGGATCAGTAGGTGCGGAGCACCCTACTGGTCCAGCAACGTCAAGAGAATTTGTAGGCATCTTGATGAAGGTTGCTCCCAACACACAAATGTTGTGCGTTGCTGCTCTAGGTAATGAGATCTCACTCATTACCTTGAAACTCGAACTGACGAATAAGTTGTCCCTTCGAGCTCTAGTCGATTGTGGGGCGTCCAACAATTTTGTGTGACGCCAATCGCTAGAAGATGGTCACTTCAAGTTTGTTGAATGTGACACACCTCCTACGAGGATGACGGTACGTCTTGCGACAGGCGCATCCGTAACCGTCATGAAACGTATAGTGAAGATTCACCATACGCTAGAAGATACCCAATATGACGATGACTTTATCGTATTGGATTTGGATGACAGATTTGATGTCATCCTTGGAATACCGTGGCTCAGAAGGTACGAACCACGGGTAAACTTGCAACATCGAACAGTAACGATGCCTGCCGCTTGTTCATCATATGGCCATCTGATGAACGTTTTGGAGCGTCCACAAGCGTGTGGATGTACTGCGAGTGAGTGCGATGGCCTCACTTGTGGTATGGTCGTTAGTACGACTGCACAAAACCTTAGTGTAACAAACGATTACACTTCGGAGCAAAGTTCCGGTGGCTGTGAGGAAACACAGGCTGCGCCGAAGGTCCACCACTCGAATAAGTCGAGTGGACCGGGACAAAGATGTATCCCTAGCGAAGAACGTCTAGAAGAGAAACCATCGTTCGCTCAAGTTAAGCGAAACGACAATCCTGGATCGACTGGAGAGTCTTTCGTAGAGGATCTCGCTGTGGTTGCGCAACCACAGCTCGAGGAAGTTAAGGGAATAAGTCCCGATATTACAGATACGGTGAAAATAAGTTTCCCGAAACCCGAGGGAATAAGTCCCCAGGAAGCCGAAGGAATAAGTCCTTCGAGGCCTGAGGGAATAAGTCCCCAGGAAATGACAGAGACAGTGAATGCCATAGTCAGTGACGGATCAAGCGTAGGCGCTTATACACTTGATCTGATTGCAATCCGAAGTTGACTTCGGAGATCACTCAGTTTCCAACGCTCGAACATAAAAAGGTTCTTGCGTGATCTGCGTAGTGACAAAGTCAAGCAGATCTGCGTACTCGTCGCTGACGACGAGTGCGTAGCCGACATAAGGTAGGCAACAGTGTTCACTGAGAACGAGAGAGTTCTCAGTAGTTCATCTATGGACGAGAGTGTCCTAGATGAAAAGACACGAGTTGAGCGATATGACTCCCAGTCGTGGGAATCGCTCAAGAAAAATCCTCTTCATAAAGATTTGGTTGAATTCAAGGATGTATTCTATGAAACTGTTCCGTGCGAACTACCGAAGGATGAAGGTACTCGACACGAGGTCGAGCTTAAACCAGGCTCGAAGTACTGTGTCATGAAGCAGTGGCCACTGCCTCGTGAACAAGTACTTGCGATCGACAAGTTCTTTGCCGATCGTTTAGCTGCGGGCCATGTGAGGGAATCAACTTCCCCACATAGCTCTCCGACCTTCTGTGTGCGAAAAGCAACAAGAGGGTGGCGGATAGCGCATGCATTTAGCAAGTTGAATGCTGCAACGGTACCGGCTCAGACGCCGATACCAAGGAAGGACGTAATCATTGATGGTATGTCGAAGAGTACCAACTTTTCGTCCATGGATTTGATGGATGGCTTCTATCAAATCCTTATGCGAGAACGAGACATACCCTATACCGCAGTGAGCACGCCTAACGGCATGCTCTGGGAATGGCTAGTAATGCCACAAGGGCTTAGTAATGCCCCTGTCACGTTCAACAGATGTGTATCACATCTGTTGAGACCATTACAAAAATTCGCGCGCGAGTTATTTCGATGGCGTATTCATCCATAGTCGGGCTATGGATGGAAAGTCGGACGTTGAGGTTCACAGATACCACGTCCGACAGGTTCTTGCAATCATGCGAAAGCATCAACTGTATGCAAACCTCAAGAAGTGTATATTTGCAGCAAGCGAAGTACCACTTCTTGGGTGCATCGTTGGTAAGAACGGAGTACGTCCTGATCCCGAAAAGACCAAGGCTATCACCGACTGGCCTGTGCCGGTTGATGTCAAAGGTCTTCGAAAATTCCTTGGGCTAGCGGCGTATTTGCATAAGTATTCACGCAATTACGCCGAGATGACTGTACACGTCTCTCGTTTGTTGATAAAGAAAGAGAGGTGGTTATAGAACGCTGAATGGCAGCGCTCCTTTGAGGGTATCAAGAAGAGCTTGATACTATCCCCAGTCCTAGCAATAGCCGATCAGGACAGGCCATTTCATGTGGTCTGTGATGCCAGCGATTTCGCAATCGGCTGTGCATTAATGCAGTACGACCTTGAAGGCGTTGAACGCGTCGTCTGCTATCAGTCGCGTCAGATGCAACCAGCTGAGCGGAACTATCCAGTGCATGACAAGGAACTCCTTGCCATGAAGTATGCACTCGCGAAGTTCAAAGTCTATCTATCAGGAGATAGACCCCTCATTGTTTACACTGACCATGCGTCTTTACGCACGGCAGTAGACAGCCCCCACCTTTCACAACGAATGGCGCGGTGGTTGTCATTCTTTGCAGAATACAACTTTACGGTCGAGTACAAACCAGGACGACTTAATGTCGTCGCTGATGCACTCTCACGTCGGTCCGACTTTGAACCAGTCGTGAAACCCAACAGTGATACAGCCACTGTTGCGGTTATGACGTCCTCAGTACCATCATCAACGTTATATGATGATGTGCGCCGGGCGTATGCCCAAGATGGTGAGATTGTGAAGTTGTTGACACATCTCTCACCGCCATCTCGAGAATCGTTGAAACGATTATCGTCTGCATATCGATCTGCATCAGATCGATACACTACTCGCAACGATTTACTGTATTATACAGCCGTTTCTGGTGACACACCACGTGTTGTCATTCCAGATGATACTGATCTGCGTTTGCGGATCATGTTCGAGTATCACGATGCTCCTATGGGAGGACATCGTGGCCGGGAGAAAACATATCTCACGGTGAGTCGAGACTTTTACTGGCCCCGCCAGTATCAGTTTGTGCGCAAGTACGTTCGCGCATGCGAAGTCTGCCAACGAGTGAAGTCAAGTCCTTTACTGCGTGCACCTTTACAACCTCTACCAGTTACGGCTGAGTGCTAAGATTCCAGCTCAATGGATTTCGTCTTCGGGTTACCCAAAGACGCACGCGGGAATACGGGTATCCTTGTATTTGTAGACAGATTCAGCAAAATGGTACACCTTGTGGCTGTACCCGAGTCAATCATAGCAAGTGGCTGTGCTTGTGTCTTTATCGACACCATCTCCCGACTTCATGGGTTGCCCCTTGAACTTGTATCAGACAGAGATCCACGCTTCACAGCTGATTTCCGGCGTTCCGTGTTCAAATCACACTGAACACGCTTGAAGATATCGACATCTGATCATCCAGAGTCAGATGGTCAGACAGAACGCGCCAATCGTGTCCTTGAAGAGATACGTCGAGGATACGTACACTCCTTTAAGAGTTGGAGTGAGTTCTTGCGAATGGTAGAGTTTGCCATTAACAACTCGGTGCATGCGTCCACGACACATACACCGTTTTACGTGAATGGCTTACGCCGTCCGCGTGTTCCCACCTTACTCGAGTGTAACTCTGGTTTAAGGGGGGAGAGACTCGCGCGAGCAAAAACCGATTTGGTTCACGCTCATCACGCTCTGAAGAAGAGGTTATTGCGTTTGATGCCGATATCGATAACATCTATATTGAAGAAGATGATGCCAGTGAGAGTGCGGAAGCCCTCACTGAAGAAAAGATTATGTTGCTGCAGTGCTCTCACAGCGCACTGAAGTTAGCGAGTCATCAGATGAGTTCATAGTGGCTCGTGAAACGGTAGTACGTTTTGTGCAAGACTCCATCGCCAAAGCGGTGGATAAGCAAAAGAAAAACGCTGACAAGAATGGAAGGGCAAACACTCTTTTATTTGATAAAGGTGACTTAGTCCTACTGTCTACGGTTAATCTACCAAAGCATGTAGTGACTAACTTGGGTAGTAGTAAACCACTACCCAAGTACATCGGCCCATTTCGTGTATTGCATCGCCTAGGCAATGCAACACGATCGAGTTGCCACGAAAGATGCGAGCGCATCCCACGTTTTACGTTGGTCGGCTTAAACCGTACCATCATTACGCTGCTTCTTCCGATGAAGAACGCCCTTGCGCTCAAGCATCTCGCAGAGAGCCTTGTGCTCCCGATGGTGGCCATCGACAAGGGTCTGAAGAGCAGTTATCTCAGCCCGAGACCGATCAATATCCCCACGAGCTACCCTTAGCTCATCACGCAGAGATGCCAGAGCTCTCTCGTTCTCAAGATGAGCAAACGCAAACTCAGCTCGATGCCTCAAGACAGTGTCCGCCAGTTGAAGACGCCTGTCCCGCTCATGTTCGAGATCGCCGCGTAACCCTTGCGTTACGCGATCAAAGAAGCTCTCGGGAACACACGGATCCCCACGACAGTGTGGAGATCGTCTTTCCTCCTCCTCCACCTCCGTTAGAGGACTCTCGCGGTGGCCAGCGCTATCTGGTTGAGCAGCTGTTGAACCACCGCGATATAAACGGACGTCGGACGAGTTGTCTCGTCCGGTGGCGCGGATATCCTCCGTCCTGGGATACTTGGGAGCCCCGCTCCCAACTGATGATTGACGTACTGGGTCTGGTTGAGCAGTACGACGCGGCACATCCTGTGCCGCAGAAGGACCGCCGGAGAAAGTCTTCCCGGCACGGTCGTAAAGGGATTTCAGGTTGTCACTCCCTTCGTACGTATCACTAGAGATACGTACGCGCCACCACGGGCTAGTAAGGAGGTAAGCCTCCTTAGGTGCGCGCCCAGAGTTGTTTACACAACATGGGCACGAGTCTCCCCAGGAGAGACAGGGTAATCCTTTCTCCCTTGACAGACGATGCAGCTTGTAGCGTGCACCTGTCGGGGTTCGCTTTTCAGACTTATCACGAGCTTTGATAAGTTTGCCGTTCCAAGCGTCACGACCTACATCCTCAAGGTTATGGATGTAGGCGTTCCACGCTTGAAGCAGCGAGGGACCATCACGCTTGTGATTCCCACTGTACCATCGATGTCTGAAGAAAGCATCGATGAAGAAATCATACTCAGCGCGATAGTTTTTCGCGCTGGGGTCAAGGTGATGGATCCTTGACGAATCGAGCAACCGTGCTCGATAACGATCACTCGTCGTCGCCGACAAGTGATCCATGACGGATTAGGGAGGCATCCATGCCTTCTTCTCGGGAGCGAGACGCAACACGTTGCGGTCCCGCTCTTCTTGCAACGTGCAGACAGAAGTACTGGTACCTCGCTGCGAAGTGGTGTCAATTGGAGAACCGACACCACTGTGAGCGCCCGAGTCTTGCGACCTCGAGCACCTTCGCTTCGGCGATGGTTCATCTGATTCGTCACATGAACCAAAGATGCTGCGACGCATAGCATCATCCACGCCACGCTTGGCAGGCGGATTGGTTTCGATCGCCGTTGATACAGATCCATCTTCCGTGTCGGGAGAGTATGAGACACCGAGCTCATACTCTGTGAACACATGAGTGTTTTCATGACGAGCGTCTGCGTCACCAGGTGACACAGGCTGAGTCGCTTCAGCAACCGATGAGACATCAGTTGCTGCGGTTTCTGCTTCGGCGTCCGCACAGAGACGTGCGGACGCGCTTCTCGGCGGCCTTGTTCGCGCACCGCATGGAACTGTTAACATGCGATGAAACTGATGGACTGTGGCTCGGACCAACAAGTGCAAACCCTGTCCCAAATGATTTGGGACGAGTATCCGATTAGTCAAATAGTCACTAAAGTGACTGATGGTTAAGGTGGGGGTGATGTAACGGGGTGAGCCGTTACATAACAGTTTGTAAGAAATTGCTAATAGAATATAACTATTAGAATTGTATTCTCAGAATATTGTCATAGGTCAAATGTTCTGTAGCACTTACGAGTAGTTCCTAATTGGTTGATGTAGGCCATTATATCAACCAACGAAGACGCGCCACGACAGACGCACGTAATGAGTGGTGAGCAGATAGTTGATATGCACATTTGTATTCAGACATAGTTAGATGAGGATAATTAGTGATTTGTTGCAGACATTAACTATGATAAATACAGCTCTACTTTTTACTCTAACCAAGTACTCGCTTCTTCTTACCGTCTTCCTCTGCACGTACGAGTGTACGTGAAATTACGAGGCACCGCCTTATTCTGTCGTCAGAATAAGTAGCTTGTACTGTCATCAGTACAAGCTTCGGGGTGCCCCGTTACAAACCATGTAGCTGCTACCGATTTTTTTTTGACTCTCCGCGAGCATCACTATTACGACGAATGAACGTTTTTTTGTTTGGGCGTTATCGATACATCACGAGCTTCCTCCCAGCGCATACGCATTCTGACAAACCATTTTTGATCCGCTGACTGCACTCCCCTATTCTTGTTCGCGTTCCTCACTTACTTTTTCCTGATCGCAAATCACTCCAAATGACCATTCTGACAAGAGACATTTTTTGGTCCGCTGACTGCACACCCCTTCCCTCTACTTTGCGTTCCTCTCGTGCTTTTCCTGTTCGTAATCATCCCGAACGATTCCGTCGCACAATGACTCTTGTCCTGCCTCTGACGTTTGGTGTGTCCGTAGTGGCTGGCTCAAAATCGGTAAGTTGCGGCGCAAACTTGTTAATGCAACTGGGGATTGCCCACTAGTGCCTGTGGCCTCCTGTCGTCGTCGTAGCTGTTGCATTCATTATTGATGTCGTTGTTGTTGCATCGTTTGCCGTTGTGGCTCACGTTATCGTGTTCGTCGTTGTGGTTGGTGTTATCTTGTTCGTAGTTTAGTCGTCGTTGTCGTGTTCCTTCGTCGTTCTTGTGGTTTGTTATTGTTGTCTTGATCGTCGTTATTGTGCTTCTTTTGTCGTCTTCATCGCCATCTGCGTCGCTCGGTCTCCGATTTGCCATCACCAATTCCATCAAGAAACACAACGCCCACATTTTCCTGTGCGTATACATCTAAACCTCCACCTTCATCACTGCCCATAAGTGAGAGATGTCTTATCGCTTCGCTACTTCCTCGCGCATACTGCCGCTCGATGGAGTGGCCTCAAGATAAGATAGCAGGCTCATCCCTGCAGCGTAGATCAATCAGGTTGTTCTGCTATTTTGATTTGTAAACAGAGTGTCGATTTTGTAGCGGTTGTCATGATAATTAGCTCAAAAATAGGTCCTCTGTACGAGCCAGCGAATAACAAATGTGGGATTACACTTTGTCACGATCACTCACGGTTCACGTTGGACTCAATACACCTGAAGACAACTATCCGAACACGGTGAGCGGAGAGAGTTGCAGAGATAGGTTCGTTTTGTGACCTCAAGATCGTACTTTATCAAGGTAATAGTACCTTTGAATATCTCTGTGCCAGGAACTAAGCGCCGTCGCGGAGCTTGTCGTGGTATTTTTCGAACGACAGAAAGGTCAGGTGTTGCGCGGGACTGAAAGACACTTTAACCAATACGCTGCGAGTCTGTCTTTCAAGTGCTCCAAGTGCTTCGCTTCTCTTTGCTGCAGAAATGTGGGACAGCTTCAATCTGTCAACTCCTAGGCGTAGGGACGATTGCAAACGCGGCAGATCTGCCGTATTCATGCGACGCGAAGGCAACGCGCAAAAAATGGAGACCCTAAAACCAGTGATGGTGGGAACCTAAGTGGCCATTGATGCAGCCCTGCCATTTGAAGTGCGATCACAGAAGCGAGCGCGAGGCGCGGGGAACGGGCGTAGCGGAGATAGATGGATCAAGTATGCACATCTACCACAGCCGCCACCGTTATTGTCCATCTATGTTAACGCGCATAAACCGCCGAAAAGGCAAAACGAAGTATCTGCTGGATGGTCTTCCAGTATGTGCTGGAATAGCCCCTCCCGCTAAGAAGAGAGGAGGGTACACGTAATTTGAAAGGCGTTCGCATTGTCGCTCTTCCCTACTTTTTTCGAGACAGTGGCATCTTCACCACAACTGCTGCTCAAGTGACCGCATAGCTCCAATGAGTAGTAGTACTATCGGACTTGCGTGCTATGGAAAGTACACGCGTGGCACGGTCAAGGGGTGGAGCGAGGGTATTCAGACTTTGCTGATACGCATACAGGCTACACACCGCTCTACGGGGAGGGCTCATCTCATTCAAGTTTCTCTGCACTGGCGGAAGTCTGGGTATAACTTACTACCTGGTCGGCATTACGAGCGGAAAATTACATCCGTCGATGACTGATGAGGCATTGCTGTCTATCGATGTGGGAAACGGCGTTCGATGAACGCCAACTGCAGATGACAGTGACGCCTCTGCTGTTATCGTGGAGGACTTTGGAGTCCCCGCCGTGCCATCCATGTCGAAGTTTGGCCTGCTATGTAATGGTAGCGGAGAAGATCTTGTCACCTACTAAGTGCAGGGCACGGCACCAATGAAGCGGCGGCCAACACGTGCGTGTGCTTTCGTTCGCCACGTTGCCCCGAAATATGCATGATGTTGAGAGGTCGAAAAGAGTCGACCACGTTTTCTCGAACTGCAACGATATCGAGTGTATTGGATGAAGTTGAAATTACACAATCAACACCAGCTGAACGGACGCGACACTACGTGATCTCTTGTGACAGCAGTGCTCGGTGTACTAATCCCAACGACATCAGCAGATGGTATGACTCACTCAGCAAAGCTGGCAGCCATGTAGAGTGCCCAGGAACGAGACAGGCCGTCGTCCATCTTTGTTTTCTGCAATACACGCAGCGCGCGCTGCTTGTCCACCATCGCGAAGTTCGCGTACAGCAGCGAGAGCCAGGTGTTGCCCGTGTCCTCGCGCGTAACGATGGCCTCCTTGCCCAGCACCTGCTCCCACTCCTCTTTTACAAACTGTTTGGTGCGCACGAACTCGGTCACAGCCGACACGGGGATCATCTGGATGCCGTGGATGCAGTGCTTCTCAGCGCTGAACCATGTCGCGTAGTCCACCTTGTTATCGAAGAAGATGCCCGTGACCTTGTTGGGGCGGAAGTTGGCCGGGTGAATTTGGTTCGCGTCCTCGACGAGGAAGTACGTCTTGATGGCATGCGCGTTGACACGCGTCATGAGCTTGCCGACGGCCTCCATAGCCGCGTTGTTCGTGGCCTTGCCATACATGTACATTCCGAAGGCGAAGTTGACGTCTTCCGACGTGCTCTCCTGGTCTTTTCCATCGGCAAACGGAGTGACGCCGTGTGAGTACGAGTGGCCGCGGAACCAGTCGAACGAGCGGAATCGTGCGAAGAACTTGTCTTCGCGGTCGAAGTTGGCGACGTCGCGTACGAGAAGGTCGACCATGATGTTGAGTTTGCTGAGGTCACTCCACGTCGGGTCGAGGCGGTTGATGATGGCCGCCGTGTGTACCCAGTAGCCGTAATGGAAGTGATGGTCGTTGTACATGGTGTTACCGAAGTCCGAGTTGAGATCTTTGGTCTTGAAACCTTGCGAGCTCACGATGCCACCGTAGACCTGGTCGTACTGGAGCTTGTTGGCCCATCTATTAGCTACGAACGGCGCCATCACACGGCGTAGTTTCTCCAGGCATGTCTTCAGCAGACTCTTGTCGTCGCCCACAATCGCGACATCGTTCGCAATTAGGCACAGGGATGCATACTTCTGCGCAGCTTTGCCGTTGAAGTAGTAGCTGCCGTCCAGAGGAATCGACCACGCGCTGTTGATGTCTTCGCGCAGGTGCTCAGCGATGCGTTGCTCATGAGCGACATTTGATGCAATTTTGCGGGACGGGTAGAAGTCTTCAGGCACCTGCTGTGTCTCCTTGATTTCCCACACGGGATCGCCAGACCCGCCTGGTGTGGTGAAAGCTTGATGCGCGCCTCGAGTTGTCGAGTGGGCTACCATGCCGTCCACTTGGCGTACCCCGCTGCTCACGACCAGGGTCTCAGCGTGGTGTTTCATTGCGAAATGCAATAGGCCACTCGAACAGTCTCCCATCGTCTTCCACTTGAACATGTAGGAACTATCGTCCTGCAGGTCAACGTCCGCTGCTTGCACAATGCATGATTTATGCTTCTCTAGCGTGCTCAGCCACGAGTCATCGAGAACGAGCGCAACACGCAAGACGCCGTCAAATACGCTCGTACTCTTGAGGGAGGATGTACCAACTGCAGTCAGAGTGATATCTTTTGCAGTACGACCGTCACTTGACAACGCGAAGACTACCCACTTCTGACCGGAGTTGTAGACGATCTCGAACTTGGAGCCACGCACTTGACCACCGAGGGGTCGGCCATTTACAGTGGAGATCGCTGCAGTTGACACGAATCGCGGGGTGAGTCCCGAGTATTTCATGGAGGTGTATACCATGCCGGAAACAATGTCCGACACCATGGTGCCACCGGACGAGCTGGCAGTGAACTTGACCGTCACTCCCTGATCCGCCCAATCGGTAACTTGGAAGTTGGGCTTCCGCCACACGATTTCTTCAGCCGAAAACAAGAACTCTCGAACCATACCGTGCGCATAGTACTTGACGGCGCCGTTGTTGCCGGAGTTGCCACCACTGAAGCGACTGCGGTACGGGTAGCTCGCGGACATGCCGAACGGAGCCTTGTCGACGACCATCTGCAGGGAGTACGGATTGGACCAGATGGGTTGAATGGCCGCATTCGAGTCGTGCGCGATGATGTTTCCCCACCAGTTGTTGGTTGGTATCGCACGGTTCTTGATCACTGATGGATCGAGGTACTTGGGCGGACACAGTCCCATCATCGCGTTGGTGCGCTCGACGAGGTAGCTGGGTGGCTCTAGGGCGCGAAACCCTGAGGAGGCACCGTCGCTGAATTCCAGAGCTGGCAGGTCCGCTGATGCCAACGAATTTGCATCACCAGCAATCATTACAGTAGAAGTAGTGCTGTTGGGTGCAGGTGCAAACGTTGATGCCACAACAGATGATCCATCACTGAAACTGGAAGCGCCATTCGTATCGGAGTCTTGACCGGCAACTCGACCAAGGTGTGAATGCTGGAGAACCGTGCTGACTCCGATCAGAGTTGATGTAAAGATCTTCATGCGTGTCCGAATTGAAGCGTGATGGTGGTGTTCTTGATTGCGGACAAAGCGTCGAAATGACAAGTGAGCTTCGATGGATGCTAGAGGAACCTTTGCTTTTAGCGTTATCCAGCGATCACGTGCCATAAATGCAGTGTAGAGGAGGTTAAAGTGCTCCTGCAAGGCCGCTCGACGATCGATCGACTCAAGGAGGCATGCAAACTGAAGGAAAAGTGAAGTTAAAGTCTGCGCTGACGCTGTTCAGCATGGACGATCTGGTTTTGGCAGGACTGACTCAGATCCGCCGCAAAAGAATTCGTCGACCGGAGACAAAAAGTCAACCATTTGAAATGCGATCGGTGCACTTATGGCAGTGTTGAAGATCGTACAATGGTAGTCGATGGTACCACATCTGAGTTGAGTCCTCAATTGAAGATTAAAACAGCTTCCGAAATGGTAGAGTGTCAGTGACAGCGTAGTCGGATCTTGTATTTCGCTCCCCATAATTGATCAACACCGTGATCTGGGACGATGTCTGGTTCGGAGCACGACATGTATACGGTTGAAATCTCTGAACACAATTTTGCTGTGGTTTACCACGGTGTTACGACCGTAAAAAACGAAGTGAACTGACGCCGGTCTTGTGGCTGTTTTACTGTCAGTCGATACTTTTATCACGTCATTCCCCCAAATGCTTGAATGACGCACCCTGCAGACTAAATTATCAGACCGTACCGGAATCTCGAATCGGGCACGAACGAGAAACCGCATCGATTTCTCAATTCGTGACACTCGGCCACGAAACACGTGGTCAATTAGCTTGACGCTACGATCTGCAGTCACATCGGTCGGCCCCGCCGCTCCTTTCGATGGCATGTTTTGTTTTCAATTCCCAGATCTCCTGCAGGACTGTAGTGCATGCTGCCACACGATGTAATTAGACGATGCGAAGACTT